CTTCAGTTACGGCTTCTTTAAATTGGGCATAATTACGCTTTCCTCCCAAAGTTTTGTAAGAATTCAACGAGATAATACACATTGTTAACACGGTGCTTGACCTGTGATAAGAGTTCTCAACGGACAATGGATAAGACGACGTCCTACCTATCTGGCCTCAGCATCCTCCTGTTAGAAACAGTCTTCTAAGCAGCTTGAAGACTCTACGAGAGGGTGGAGCTTTGGCGTCCAACGCTCTCTACTAAACTGTACGTTTAGTAGACGGAGTGTTACCCAGAACACGGGGCTGGGTGGGGTCGGAACGAGCGCGCCCGCCTGTCTGCTTTGCCGCGGCCGCGACGCAGACGCCGGACCGGAGCCTGCACGCCGGGCCCAGCTGCCTGGCCCTTCCCTCCTCCCGCTCTGCCCCGCCGCACTGGCAGTGAAAACACCGCCACGTGGCCTGCAGCCTTCGCGTCACGCGCCTTCTCCCAATGGCAAGCCGTGTCTCGGAGTTGGGGGCGGGTCGCCAGCAGGGCGGTACCGCCCACAGCCGTCGCCAATTGGCCAAGGGTGAGCCGGGGCGTGGGCTCACGACCAATGGAGGCCGGCAGTGGGAACCCCACCCTGTCGACGGCGGGGTCCGCGGGACCCGCAGGAGGGGGCGGGGCGGGGCGGAGCTGAGCGAGGAGGGGCGGGGCGACGCGGGGCCCGGGCGGGGCCCGGGCGGGGGCGGGGCCGGGGGCGGAGGGGGCGGGCAACCCGGCCCGCGGGGTCGGCGCCAGCGGGCTGCTGAGGTGGCTGTCGCTCGCTCGGAGCGGCGGTTTCCCGGGTCGAGCCCCCGATGGAGGCCGGGGCCGCGGATGGTCCCTCGGGCGGGGTCGAGGAGGCGCTCAGCTGCTTCTCTTTCAACCAGGACTGCACGTAAGCCGAGGCGCCTGCCCTGCCGGGAGGTGGGGGTGAAAAGTCGCGATCGGGGGTGTCGTCCAGTTGGCAACTTGTGCAGGAGGCGCGGGCCTACGTCCCAGAGGCCTCGGCGGACGGCCGGTGCTGCCCGGACTGGTGAGGGTCCCCGGGCCGCCCCGTCGGCCTCCCCGTCCTCCAGGAGGGGGCTGAGCACCCCCGTCGCCCGCTGCCGGCCGAGAGCCAGGAGGGCCCGGCCGGGAGGAGAAGGACGGAGTTAGCCGGGGGATTGGGGCTGAAGGAGGCCAAGGAACGTGGGGGGTCGGGGGGGCGGGGTAGTGACCAAAGTGGGGGTCTGGGGAAGGAGGGGCAGAGGCCAAAGCAAAGGAGATGGGAGAGGACGGGGAAGTTGCAAGCTGACCCAAGGCGAGGTAGTTGGGGCCCAGGAAGATGGGAGTACAGGAAAAACTTTCCCATTTGTCCTTGAGCATCTCAACGTGGCATCTGGGCAGGGCCAATGACTCAGAGGCAGCCTATCCCTGCGGCCAGGCCAGCCCCGGTCCCAGCCCCAGCGCAGGGCACCTCGCCCGCCGGATCTGGGTGTCAGGAGCCTCTCCATTGCTCTCACTGTGTCTTCCCGTAGCCCACTGGAGAGGCCGAGCCTCCTCCTGGGAGTCCAGGAGCCCTTTCCCCGCCCAGGCTGCCTTCCGGGAGAAGCATGAACTCCACTCTGTTGCCTTTTGACTGGATTTTTAACGTTTCACCTTGATGTTCCCATTGGGACTTTGACCAGAGAGCCGGGAGTTGCTGAACTGCGTTTCAGACAGCTGGAGGGTGTCCCTTAGAAGCAAACTGCTGCTCCCTTACCTCTTCTCATGGGATTGTTAGACACCAGCTCTGGGCACCATATGGAATAATCTCTTTGGAATGTGCACCCAGAGCATTAGGCAGTGATGACCTCTTCCCAGTTCCCCATTTCCTGCTGTACCAATCTCTGTTGTGCTCCTTGTTTGGAGTCGGCTTCAGGTGTGTGTTGGCCGTCTGTGCCTGGGCTGTGCTAATATTGAACATTCAGTGGTGTAATTAAGGCCATCGTGTACCATAAGCAACCCTGGCTTCCATTCCCTTTGTGCTTCTGTTTAAAAACACCCTCTGCCAAACAATATACCTTTGTTCGAAAAAGCTGTATGTGTAATCGTGTAATACAGTAGCTGGACAACTGGGTTAGAAGCGGGACTTTCAAGCTTCCCTTGACCACAGCCCACAATAAGAAATACATGTTACAACATTACCCAGTATCCAGATATAGATGTGTGTCTATACACACACACACACACGTATAATATCACTGAAAAGCAATTCACAACATGCTCTTAATGTGTGCAATACCCTCTGGTATTTTGTGTTTCTTTTTTTTTTAAAGCCATTCGTGACTTACTAAATTATTTTCTCATGGGTTGACAGCCACAGTTTACAAAAATGATGGTCTAGATTCACTTCTGATGTTTTGTAAGAAACATTTTGCAAGAGAGGATGGCTGTTGAAATGCCTGGGTGTTTGCCTTCCCAGCTGAGAGCAGGTTAACGAGGGGAACTAGGGCTAGTTTGCTTCTTAGTAGGAAATGTTCTCAATTCTGCTTTGTAGCATTGTTTATTACATTTTTTAAAAGGGATGTTAATTTTTACTCTAGGTAAGTCCCAGCTTTCGATAGCGGTTGGATAAGAATGTTATTTTCAAAACCGTAGGGTGCTCGGGAAGATACTGTCCTTAGTCCCTACTGTCAGTTCTGTCTTCCTGGCTCTGCTGGGCAGCTCTGTCGCACCTATAAATAAAAGTTTTTGTCACAGTCAGTTGCTTTGAGCCTCAGAGGGTATGGCATTGGATTTTAAAATAAGTCAAGCCCCTTGCCGAATACATTTCGGAGTGTCAGCGTGTCTTTTTCTATAAGTATAGGCCAAATTTAGGGTCCAGGCTTCCCTGGTGGCGCAGTGGTTGAGAGTCCGCCTGCCGATGCAGGGGATGCGGGTTCGCGCCCCGGTCCGGGAAGATCCCACATGCCGTGGAGCGGCTGGGCCCGTGAGCCATGGCCGCTGAGCCTGCGCGTCCGGAGCCTGTGCTCCGCAACGGGAGAGGCCACAACAGTGAGAAGCCCGCGTACCGGTAAAAAAAAAAAAAATTAGGGTCCAGTTTTTCTGGAGAAGGTTAGTTAGAAGACAACTAACCTTTAGCAGTCTTCACTCATCCTTCATGCTTGGCCCTGTGCCAGACAATTTGGGTGTGTTTTTTTCACTTGATTCGTGGTATGTATTTGTCCCAAATCCCATTTTCATGAGAGGTGATGAGAATTTTTTTTCTTCCTACAGAAAGGCCTTATGAATGAAATAAGGTTTTAGTCTGAATTCCTTGATTCAGAGTTTTTTGTGGTCATTGATCAACCATTTAAAACACAACAATGATCGCACTGCCATTTCCCATAGTTAAAATTCTTGTGGAGAAGGGCATATGTTTGAAAGTTATTTTAAGTTGCCAGATCTTTTGGTTAATATTATAAGACTCTAATTACAACATTTTTTCCCTTACTTGCAAGCTTTACAAACCTTGGTTTGCAACTAACTGCACACATATTTATGTGAAAAAAGTTTATGGGAAGAAGGTTTAGAAACAGTGATCACTATGGAGTATGTATATTTTGAAGTTTTAAGATGCGGCTGGCTGGCCTTTCGAGTTCGTTGTTATTAGAAGCCAAGCCCCAGTTCTGAGCGCACTGTTGCCTGATGCAAACGTCTAATCCCCCAGGTTAGCTGCTCAGCAGGCCGGTTGGGGGCGGGGGCGGGGGGGGTGGGGAGTAAAGAAGCAGAAGCAGCCACCTTGCTGATTAAAAGTCAACTGCCATTCCAGGGAAGAACAAATGTTAGGGTAGTAAAAAAACAAAATTCCAGGGAGAATCATCTGACCTTCTCTCTTTTAGGCTAGTGAAACAAGAGCCTTGGCCATCCAGGCTTGTAGCAGTAAGCTGCTTATTTTAGTCTATGTCTCCCTGTGAAGAGCCGAAGCTCACCTTTTCATATGTTTATTTTGAATGAGGGAGTTGGACTAATTGTTAGGCCTACGTAGGACCATTTTAAGGTCCATTTCAGCCCTGACATCCCATTTCCCAGGGGTCAGGGTCTGATGGCTTATTCTGAGGGTGCTCTGGGTAAGATTTTGGTCATCACTGAGGTGTTGAGGGCAAAGCAGGAGAGAGCTGGATAGGAATTCTCAGCTGCCGAACAAAACTGACTCTTTTGCTTTCATCCTGGGGCCAAGGAAACATGGGTGCACACTCTGTATCTATTGGTTGAAGAGTGAAAAATTAAGAAGACAAGATTCTGGACTTCCCTGGCGGTCCAGTGGTTAAAGCTCTGCACTTCCGATGCAGAGGACGTGGGTTTGATCCCTGATCAGGAAACTAAGATCCCACAGGCTGCACTGCGCGGCCAAAAAATTAAAAAAAAAAAAAAAAGAAGAAGACAAAATTCTTTTAGCCCCCGTTGTCCCAGATAAGGTTTCGATTTTGCTCTGTTGGTAGGGTGCAGTGCTGGCTTTGTGAAGCAGGGGATAAAGCAGAGTTCTCAACCATGGCTGCCCATGAATGGCTGCCTGTGAAAGTACTTGAACTGAAAAAAACAAAAAAAAGAAAGAAATCCAATTAAATAAAAAGCACAGGGCGGGCGGAGCAGGGTAGACAGTCATCAGTATTCTTAAAGCTTCCCAGGTGAGTTTAATGTGCAGCAGGGATGAGAACAACTGGTATAAAGTATCTGAGATGCTTTCATGGAAAGTGATGGAAGGAAGCATCTATTAAATTTTGCCTGCTAATGACCCACTGTGTCTTCTAAGATCACGTATGTCTTTTTTAAGCAAGAAAGAAAGAAAGAAAGGAGGAAGGAAGGAGGGAGGGAGGGAAGGAAGAAAGTGAAGGAAGGAGAGAAGGAGGGGAGGGAGGGAGGGAGGGAGGGAGGGAGGAGGGAGGGAGGGGGGAAGGAAGGAAAGAAAAAAAAAATAATTTACCTCTTGGTAGCACTGTGATGAATATTGTCAAACATGCCATTTTTCCCATTTCTGCCCAGCTGGGAAAGCATGGTCTCTGGTGGGTCTGACACTTCATTTGACGATAGAGCCCATTCAGTTTCAGGTCTCTTCGCCATTTCACGTTTGTATGTAGCTGTCTTTGACTTCCTTTCGACTGGACCTGCCCGCCTGACAAGGCATGCTTGCTTCTCCGTCTAGAAAGTGATCAAATGTCTTGGCTCCTGAGGCTGTATGTTTATCTGAGGCTAGAGGGATGGAGGGTGTCTCTCTTCAGACACACCTGTGGTTGGACCCAGTACCTGTTGTCATTCCCAGGCTGTCCTTGCCTTCACAGATCCCTCGCGATTGGAACCAAATCTGGTTATAAGCTGTTTTCTTTGAGCTCCGTGGAGCAGCTGGACCCCGTCCACGGAAGCAGTAAGTGTGTGCGTGTGAGGACCTCAGGGCACCAAATCCTCCCTCTAGACTCGAAGCCAGGGCACTGCTCAACTGTCTGCATTTCCCTCCATTAACCGCAAACTTACAGAGTCAGTGTTTTTTCAGATTTAAATATAAATCATCGTTTCCACTTGCTTTAAAAAAAAACCCCACCATGAAACACTAGTAAGATTTGGCAATAGCTGAAGTAACATTCTCTTTTTACATTAAGAAATCCTTTGAAACTGTATTGTTGACACTTTTTCGTATACTCATATGCACGGTCATCAGTTCTGATAATTGTCAAACTGAAAGTTCACTTACGATTTTTTTTTTTTTGCCCTTTTATTGGCACTGTAGAATATTGGTAACATTCATTCAGTCATGGAAGTATTTTCCTTGTTTTAATAAAGCAGTAGTCTCCCATTCACAGAATCCATATCGAAGACATTGAAGTACTTCTAGTGAATATTAAAAACAAGTCCAGCTTAGAAATGTGCCTCTCTCATTGTCTCAGGGAAGGTTGTTGTTTATGCCACCATTATATTGACGAAAACACACTCTTCGGATTTCCTGGGAAGAAAGTGGCTTGGCAAATAATATCTTAGGCTCCCAATTCACTTGTAAGATGTTATTTTTATTATAACATTTTTGTGAAGATTCTGCTCTGTATCTGTCCTGCGTTGTTCCCTATGGGACTTGCTGGAGCCCAAGAAAGGCAGACATGTGAAAAGAATGTTCCCAGAAAGACACGGAGGCCTTCTGTCTACAGGCGCTCAAGAGGCCTCCTGATTTACCTTCTTCCTGGGTACAGAAGGACTCCCCTGGTCATAAAACAGATGTCCGGGGTATTATCAACAGGAAAGGGATTCCGGAGAGAGTCAGGGAGCACAGCAAGACGGGCAGGAGGCACAGAATTCACTGTTCCTGCCCCCTCCCCTCCCCCATCATGGTGGCACCTGTACCTTTTAGCAACAGGGACCAGAAGAATTCCGAAAGCAGAGCCTCCCGACAGAGTAGTTACCCCTTTGCAACCTCCCATGGAGGAAGAGTGGATTGATCCAAACCTCCCAGATATGTTCTGCAGAGAGGACAGCGGCCCCGGGGGCGGGGCTGTGATTCCAGCCGCAGAGGGCATCAGGGGATGCTCTGGAAAGCCCGGCTTGAGGTTCTGATCGCCGGGGTCTGCCTGACTGTCCATCGTGGAAAGGGCTTGGGAACTTGGGAAATGGGTAAAAGTTCACTGTCGAGGGAAGGGGCGGGGAATCTCTGCAAGCGGGCGGCAAGGGAGGGAGGACCCCGAGGAGGCCGGTGGGCTGACGTCTGCCTGCCCTCGGCCGCCTCCCCACCCCCTGCCCGCAGATGACATCCCCGACGTCTGCATCGTGGAGCGCCTCTTCTCCAGCAGCCTGGTGGTGGTGGTGAGCCACACGAAGCCTCGCCAGATGAACGTCTACCACTTCAAGAAGGGCACGGAGATCTGCAGCTACAGCTACTCCAGTAACGTCTTGTCCATCAGGCTGAACCGGCAGGTAAGGGGCTGGCGCATCCCTCCGGGTCACAAGGCTCCCGCCGCTGGGGACCAAGGAAAAAGAGGAGCATCTCTCGGGATGGTCATCTCTCTCCAGCATCCAGCTCTGTCGGGGGTTTTAAAACTCAGGCCGAGGATTATGGGGATATGGTTTGAGTCTACGCCGCACACTTGTCTCGGTGGTGAGACCGCCCGCATCGCCCCCGGGCCCCGGTCCTTCCGCCTGCTGTGATTTCTCAAACATCCGCCACCGGCTAGGCGAACGCTGTCCCCCTGGAGCCAAGCTGGGTGGAACCCTGGCTCAGAATCTGTCCCATGAGCCACCGCAGGGGCACCTTAAACCAGAGGGGCGCCCTTCTGCTTTGGGCCGTAGATGGTGGCATTCCTTGCCGGCTGGTGGTCACGCCTGTCAGAATAAGCTCCTGGAGAGAAAGTGTGGTACTCCTGGGTTAGTGCTGAAGCCAGCCGGTGAAACTGCCCCTCCTCTTGCTGGGACCGAGTCCCAGGCCGCTTTTCTTTCTTCCGGCTAACCCGTGAAGATGTTTCTGGTGATGTTTTCTTTGTTGGAGGAAGGGTTAGTCTTATCTCAAACATGCAATATACATTCTTTTGAAAACTATAAGTTCCTGTTAAATAAGCATTTGGGGGTACTAGCCGAGTTTCCCTTGAATTATTAGATTTAAAATCCTATGAGGGCAGCGACTGTATCCATTTTACTCGCTCCCGTAAGGCCTGGTAGAAAAGACGGTGCCCGGTAGAAAAATGCTCAGTGAATATCTGTTTCCCGGCTGCCTATTAAATACAAAAACAAATAAATCGGTTCTTTCTGTGACCGAGCAGATCTGTGTATTCAATTAAATATTCCCAGGGTGCTGGAGGTCCTTGCCTTCACCGAGGACATCGTTTTCTTTGTACCTAAACTATTAAGTGCTTACTTTTTTTTTAAACAAATGAGACGAAGTGCTGTCTTAAGTTTATGAGAAGGAAGAGATTGTTTCTTTGGGTTGATCCACTATGTTGACTGCCTACCATTCAAGTCTGTATAAAGCAGGGTGGTAGAAAATGGCCTGAGAAATAGAATACGGCGTATTCTAGAAGCAAGGAGTAGCAGGGGATAAAGAAGATAAGCCCAGTTCTTGGCAAGAGAGGGAAAGGCAGTTTGAGGGTTTTCAACTTGAAGGCTTTTAAGCACAATTCTTGGCTCCAGTGCTGTCTCTGAAATGTCTTGGTTGCACATTAAATTTCTTTGCAGGACGTTTTATCTTTGCATACGTTGATAGCCAGGGTATAAAAATTAAGACTGTTTAGGCAAATGTCCCGTAAAGGTCAGAACCCTCAAATGGTATCCACGGTATTTATTTGTATAATGTCCCTCGCTTGCTCTCTGATATTTTCATCAGCAAATGGGACTGTTAACCTTTAGGTGCCACCCTCTCCTCAATAAAACACCATATTCACTTCAAAGTTCCCTGGCCGCATTTCCTAAAGAACATCACAGCACCTAGAACTTCTCCGCTGTTCACGGCCAAGCCAGCTGGACCCCAGGCCGAACAGTGCTCTCTTCCTTTAGCATGTCTTCTGCTAAGAAGATGATTTGAAACAGGTCTGGGAAGTCTTCGGGGTTTGCTTCTCTTAAAAACATTCAGATTTGGGACTCTTCACTTTTGGTTTACGGGGCTGCTCGTGTGCCCTCCCTGCCAGGCCAGGGTCCTGCCGCTCCCCAGCCCCCCACCCCCCACCCCACCCCCCCCCCCCCCCCGCCCCCGAGGATGTGAGAATAGAGGCTGCTCTATTTCATCAGGTCCTCAGGCTGTGCAGTTCCTTTCTGAAAAACAGGAAAAAAGTCCAAGATTTGTGTGGGGAATTAAGAAGAAAGAAAACCCCTATTATCCTCTGAATCTGTAGAAAGGAAGAATATTCAGTAATTGGGATCTGTTTCATTTTTAGTTGCTGTTAATCCCCTTCTACTAATAGAGGAAAGGTGTTCTGTGGAATAAAGACAATAAACCAGATGTATTTGGATTTGTAAATGTCCACAGTTCTTTGACCATCTGTTCCGAGGGGCCCTCGTTACCCAGATGGAGATTGATTGGATGGAAGCCTCCAAGGGCAGACGCTGTAAAGAATTTTCTAGTTGACAAAAGGAGTTTTTACTTCTAGGACCTAGACAAGTAGATGAGAACCAGGGCGACAGGGAATGAGCTGAGCTGGAGGCCAGCCCAGGGTTCCGCTGAGACCGCAGACTGATTAGCAAAGGGAGCCATTGCCAGGGTTGCGCTCATCCCAGGAACGAGCCCTCACGTGAAACACAGACGAAGTGCCTCCTCTTTGCCCCTCACTGCTCTCTCTGTGTTTCCCTTGGGCTGGGGGGGTGACCTGAAATCCGGCCGAGTGGACCACAGAGCAGGTGGCGCTCTAAGAGCTGGTGGGGAAAGATGCGGGTGAGGCCAGAGGAGCTAGGAGTGGAGGCTGCCCCTGCAGGAAGGGGCATGGTGAAGACCCCGTATTCTGGGGTCGCACGCGGGGCTGGGGGTGGGGACACAGGAGCGAACCCGAACCCACAAACGTCAACAAGCATAGAGCGCTCTAGTCCAAACCGTAGTAAGTGCAGGCGAAAGGCAAAGCGGTGCGGTGAATCAGGGACTTGACTTTACGGAGAAGCACTGATACATGCCATCAATTTGGAGGCCCTGTTAGAATCTTTTTTGTCAGCCCTCTGCACCCAGCGCTGTGGCCACAGAGCCTTAAATAAACCTGAGAAAAGTGTTTCAGTGTTATCTTTCCGCTTGGTTCAAGTGACAGTCTCCCGAAAAATTCTGAGCTGGGAAAACAGCATTGCAGGCTTTTCCCAGAAGGGGAACCCACCGCTTCTTAGTGGTATTTTTAGGTTCCTTCCTTTCCAAGAGTTGTTCCCTGGGATGAAAGGATCTGGCCTGGGAGCAGTGGTCCTCACGTCTGGGGTCCGTGTTGAAACCCCCCTGAACGAGGGTCTCCAGGCAGAGCCCAGGCCTTGCCCAGGGATGCCAGGCGCTCATCAGAGTCTGAGAAGCGCCAGCCTGAAGGAAGCCGAGGCGGCGTCTGACGGGAAGGGGAACCGAGAAGTTTACCCGGAAGTGTCTTCACTGGCAAAGGGAGTCTGATCAGGAAGTGTCCAGGACTCCCTGGACTGAGGAGAGGGAAAAGTACAAAAACAAAAACAAGAAGGAAATCTCAATTTCTAAATGGAATTTCCGAAGATCCTGTATTTAGTGCTTCTGTCCAGGTGGATGGTGATGTATACGCGGCTGTGCGCACATAACGTAGGCTTCAAATCGATCATGAAAATTCCTCCCCCTTTTGGCTTAGAATAGACTTAGGATTCCCAGGAAAGAGGCGTGATCTCGGGATGGTCGGGCCCCTTTCCGAGGAATCAGCCCCGATAGGTTGATGGGTCTGTGTGATTTCAGAGGCTGCTCGTTTGCCTGGAGGAGTCCATTTACATTCACAACATTAAAGACATGAAGCTTCTGAAGACCATCCTGGATATTCCTCCAAACCCAACAGGTGAGCCCCAGCCCGGACCAGGTGCCCCCACATCTCGTGTCTGGGTGCTCCTTTTGCACCAGCTGTGTTTCCACCCAAATTGAAAACCCGAAGCAGCGTTTGTCCTTCATTGCTTTATAAATCTTCGTGGTGTTTGCCTTGAAGCTTTGTCTTAACAGCCGCAGATTCAGGTTATCTTAGGCCATGTGTCCTGCAGGAGGGCCGTGTGACCTTCCCTGCAGCCTGGGAGAAACTCCTTTCCCCTGGGACCCATGCTCAGCAACCATGTCAAAGCATTTAGGCAGACACATAGGAGATGTCCTGCATCTGACGTTGCAAGGTGCTCACCCCTAGTTATCTTTGCTGGTTGTTCAGTATAGAGCAGACGTCATAATCAGAAGTGGGTTCTACCTGACTGGGAGACAGACAATCCAAACCGAAAAGAAACGTGTTTTCTTTCGTTGCAGACAATGCTCTCTACGTGGGTGATATGCTAGGAGGTTGGACTGTATTCAATTCTCAGATGTAACACTGTTTAATACATTTTCCTGATTTAAGAATGGGAGCAGCTGGGATTGGTCAGGTTGAAAAGGCAGACGATGACATTCTGTGAATCCCTGGCGGCAGAAGTAAACAAGAAGGAAGTTGTGTGGTGGGACAGGAGCCACCAAACCAGAACAGTGTGCGGATCTAATGATTCAGGGCAGTATTTGTAAATCGCACTCCAGCTTAGTATCGTTAAATGATTGCTTCAGTTCACTGCGGTTTTCTAATTCGTTGACTTTCACCGAATTTCAATATCCCTGTGGCCCGACCTCAGTCACCTAGACTCTTTGAGCCTCAGTTTCCTCACCTGTAAAATGGAATAGTAACCCCCGTCTCACAGGGGTGGCGTCTGTGGCGGTGACCTGCTCACGGCCTGCTGGGCAGTAATTCCTCCTCTGGCCTCATTTCCTTCTCTCCATCTGAGTTATACAGATGGCCCTTGATGTTGACTTCAGTGCTTTAAAATTTCAGCCCTGACAAAACGGTACTGTATTTGAAAAGATCACAGCCATTGAGGCCGTTAGAAAGCTCTGTGGGAGAACGACTTTAAAGCCTGTTTTGCAAGTGGAGGGTGGTAAGTGGGGACAGCGGACGGGGGATTAGTTTCATTTTGTGCTGTGGGGACGGCGGTGGGGGATTAGTTTCGTTTTGTGCTGTTTTTCAGGAATGACAGGTTGAACTAACCTGGAAAAGTGTTTATTGCAGACATGCTACGTGCCCGGGACCATAGTAGGCACTGTAGGTACAGACCACACGCCAGGAACCCCAAACCTTTGGGACATGGCGCACAAGGGCCCTGGCGTCTTTGGAAGGTTTGGGACCCAGGGGGTGACAGCTGAAAGGAAGATGTGCTCTTCTGACAGGGCGAGGGAGGTGAGTGGGGTCTGAGCAGAGCCCACTGGAGCCGTGGGCCTGGGCTGGACCCTGGCGTCTTTGGACAGAGGACATCTCAGGGGGGCAGGGGACATGCCAGGTGAGCAGGGGACATCCCAGGTGGGCAGTGGACATGCCAGGTGGGCAGAAAGTTCACAAGCTGCCTGTGACTCTCCGTTTCTTTGAAAGGCGGGGAGCCGGGCACCGTCAGCGGCCTTTCGAGCAGGCGTCCCACGGGTCAGGGCAGCCGGCAGCCCCCTCACTCCTGCGGCCACACCTCAGCCGTTCAGCCCAGGGGACGGTGCTTCCCACCTTCAGGGCCAAACCTGTTCCTCCTGGGAAAAGCCCGTCTCCTCTTTGAGCAAATGCAGCCATTTGTCTTAGCTCAGGAAACGCACGGATGGCCTCAGTTTTGCACTTTAAACAGGGAGGAAGGAGGTTTGCAGGTGTAGGGCCATCTGTGCTCCCTGTTAGGATGTGTGCGCCTCACAAAGGGAATGATTTTATCTCAAGACAACTTAGAAATGATGGGAGGAGTCCTCAGGTAAACACTACCAGTGGGCTGGGGGAGAGATTTAGCCTTTCCTTCTGAAAGACCAGGGATGGGTTGAAAGTCCAAAACGTGTGTGTTATTACAGCTTTGACATTCTTTGGAGAGAGAGGCCAAGACAGCCTCAAATGCTGACATTTATAATCATCCTCTCAGCTTCCCCTGAGCTCTTCCTACTTCAGTAAAATGGGGATGAGCCTTTTTACCCCACAGAGTTCTTATGGGGAGGACTCCCCGAGGGCGGGGAGGGGGTGAGAGCGAAGTCCCATCTGCTGGGCACACGAGGCTCGGCCAGGCTCGCCCGCAGGCCGGTTGCATGCATCATGTCCATCTCCAGCCAGGAGGGCAGGCTCGGGACAGGTCAGGGTTTCCCTGCAGTGACATGACCCGCCCCTCGCTCAAGGACCCCCAGCAGACTCTGAACGTCCAAAACCACGTAGATGAGATCCTCAGAGGCCAGGAGTCTCCTTCATTTGTTCCCACCCTCTCATGTATTTTCTGAACAACAAACTGTAAGATGGAAACTCTGGCCCTGATGTGATGCATCTTCATGGGTCACAGGGAGACGGGGCCTCTTGGCCGACAGGCTCAGCCACACAAATTCTGAATGTCTTTTGACTTTGTGAACTACGAACACATGATATACAGAGTCCTGTCATTGCTTCACGCTCAGTACCGGCCGTGGCTGGAAATTTCCTTCCTTCTGTCTGTTTGTGTCATGCCCGTTCCTGTTGTGTCAAAGACTGCAGGCTGCTTCCTTTAAAGGGTTTGGCCAGACGGGGCTCAAAGTTAATTTCCTGCTAGCACAGCAGTCTGTACCCTGAGCAGCTGAAGGTGGAAATCTCCATGAAAAGATCTGCCAACCGCAGAACTTGGGGATGCTGTCAGTCTTACAGGCTTTCACGGAACATTGGGGGAGCAGTCTACACCACACAGCAATGTGTATAATGGGACAGAGTAGCCGTTTATTCCCCAGCGAGCGCTCTTTCTGAAAATGTAATGCAGGTGGGGTAAATGGTAGCATAGAGCATCTGTAAGTACGGAGACGATTTCTCTCCTTTCTATTTTTAAAATCTGGAAAGCATATTCCATTAATCAACCCAGAGGGAACTGCATTTTATAAATCACTGTTAACTTGCTTTAATTTTGACACATAATACTATAAATACCGAGGTAAGAATGATTTAGAATCACAGGACTTCCTTCTAATTCCAGCCGATGGTGCCATTGGTTCTTGAATGGAAATCAGGCATTTTTCTTCTCCAGCTGCAGAAGGATTACAGCCAAACCATTTCAGTGGAATTATAGCTGACCATGATTTATGAAAATGTGTGTCCAGTCTGAAGTCCAAAAGCCACATCAAAACCTAACTCCTTATATTTTAAAAAAAGAAAAAGGCCAGAAGAAAATATTCTCAAATATTGAGCACAGTGAAAAGCCTCTGGGTTTTAGAATTCTGCGTGCTTTTTTTTTTTCTGTTTCTTTATATTTTCTGGGCTCTACAAATTTTTTATACTATCACTTTTATATTATAAAATAATATCAAAGAAAAGGCTGGGACTTCCCCGGTAGCACAGTGGTTAAGAATCCACCTGCCAATGCAGAGGACACGGGTTCGAGCCCTGGTCCAGGAAGATCCCACATGCCGCGGAGCAACTAAGCCCGTGTGCCACAGCTACTGAGCCTGTGCTCTAGAGCCGGCGTGCCACAACTACTGAAGCCTGCACACCTAGAGCCCGTGCTCCGCAACAAGAGAAGCCACTGCAATGAGAAGCCCGTGCACCGCAACGAAGAGGAGCCCCCGCTCACTGCAACTAGAGAAAGCCCGCACGCAGCAATGAAGACCCAACGCAGCCAAAAATAAATAAATAAATAAATTTATTTATTTATTTAAAAAAAGAAAAGGCTCATTTCCCTTCCTATAAAGGGTTTCAGGGGACACTTGTGACAGAAACAGAAGGCGAGTAGAACGGGAATATCTAAGCCTATAGCAAAGTCTTCCTACTTTCCTTGGGGGCTTCGCAAGAAGTAAAGTGCATTCTTAGAGCTGGGTGGACTTGTCTGAGAATTGGACCGCAGGAAGCTAAAGGAGCTCACGCTCAGCATTTCTGGGGACCGTCATTAAGCTGCAAAGGTTCGTACGCACGGCCCCTTGGCTACATTCAGGTGGGCTGGCCGAGGTGCGAGCCAGAGGCAGAGCTGTCAGGTACGTGGTTACGTGGCAGGGTGTACCTGCCCTCGCCACCATCCTTGGTCCCTTCTTGTCAGACTCTCGTGTCAACTCACTCTCCATTGCGTGTTACAGGAAGTTCCATGTTAGCTGAAGAAGTTTAAGCTTCCTTCCTTTCTGGAAATATTTACATTTTAATATACAACTCTGAAGGTCACCTCACACCTATTAGAATGGCTATTATCAAAAAGACAAGAGACAAGTGTTGGCGAGGGTGTGGAGAAAAGGGAGCCTGCGTGCACTGTCGGTGGGGATGTAAATTGGTGCTGCCACTGTGGAGAACAGTGTGGAGGACCCTCAAAGCACTAAAAACTGAGCTACCTTATGATTAAGCAATCCCACTTCTGGGTATTTATCCAAAGAAAATGGAGACACTAACTCAAAAAGATATCTGCAGCCCAATGTTCATTGCAGCAATATTTACAACAGGCAAGACATGGGAACAACCTAAGTGTCCATCGATGGATGAGTGGATAAAGAAGGTGTGGCATATAGATATAATGAAATACTACTCAGCCATAAAAAAGGATGAAATCTTGCCACTGTAATGACGTGGATGGACCTTGAGGGCATCACACTACGTGAATTCAGTCAGGCAGAGAAAGACAAGTACCATATGATCTCACCTATATGTGGAATCTTCAAACAAAACAAGCTCACAGATGCAGAGGATAGACTGGTGGTTACCAGAGGCTGGGGGTCAGGGGGAAGACAGGTGTGAAATGGTTGAATGGGGTCAAAAGGTACAAACTTCCAGTTAAACAATAAGTCATGGGGGGGGCTTCCCTGGTGGCGCAGTGGTTGAGAGTCCGCCTGCCGATGCAGGGGACGCAGGTTCGTGCCCCGGTCCGGGAAGATCCCACGTGCCGCAGAGCGGCTGGGCCCGTGAGGCGTGGCCGCCAAGCCTGCGCGTCCGGAGCCTGTGCTCCGCAACGGGAGAGGCCACGGCAGTGAGAGGCCCGCGTACCGCAAAAACAAACAAACAAAGTCATGGGGGTGTAACATTCAGCAGAACTGAGAAGGCGTGAGTGGCCTCTTCTGAGGCTGGGTGAGCCTGTACAGGCGAGAGGGCTGCAGGGAGCCTGCAGGACAGGGCGCTGGGCTGCCACCCTCCTCCCACAGCTGCCTGGCAGGTGATAAGGGCACAGCCTGGTGGGTCCTCGGCAAAGCCCGAGCAGGAGGTCGGACCTTGGTTCCCATCCTCGACGTTTGCTTTTGTTTTAACCTCTGCTCTGCCCCCAGCAGATGAGGGTCAGGTCCATTTTAGCCTGATCTGAAGTTTCTCTTATGCTTTTACAAGAAACCCATTTAACACACTAACTTGTAACAAAGCTACCTTTTCTATTTAAAAAGGGCCTCTCTTGCCTGATCTCCAAGTTCTTATTCTGGTAATGCTTCTGGTTCGGGTAATTCCCTGAATTCACTTCTATCACGTACACCCCTATGAATGGAAGCCATTGTTGTGAAAATCCTTTTCTTAAATGCTATTAGGATCCTCCCCCGCCCCTCCAATCCCCGTGTAAATAAAAATGGCTTTTAGGTTTGGTTCAGTGGTTTGACTTGGTGTTTACTCTTCCAGAATATTGTTGAAGCCTCTTAAATCCAACACGTCCTGTTTCTTTAGTTTGTCCCGACGGCAGACACACCGTCTTCACTGCCCTCAAGTGAATTACCCCTCTGGAGGCGCCCATTTCCCTTATCGAGGCAGGACGTTTGGCTCTGGAACAATTTCTAAATAGGTCCTCCCGTCAAGCCACCCAGCCTCCCCACCCTCCAATTTGAAATGACATTTAATCCCCTGCAGAAAGGCCACCACAAGCTGCCCTTTATTTCAGTTAGGAGCTTGTAGCCCAGAGGGTAACGGAATTGGAAGAGAAGTAGATGTTACTTCAGGGCCCTGGGGCACAGTGCGAAGAAGAACGTTTAAAATAGTCTAACTTCTGACCTCTCAGCTGTGGTCAGTGTCCAATCACTAGGTCGTCCCTGGAATTTACTTGATCAGGGTCCTTGGATTAGAAGAATCAAGAGCCGAGGTCTGCAGGGCCGCTCCTCCCCTCGCCAGCAGGTGGCGCTGTGGTCGTGCCGTGTCCAGATGCCCTTCCCGGGCGTGGACGCCGGCTTTTCACGTGCGGTTTGCTCTCCCCCAGGTCTGTGTGCCCTGTCCATCAACCATTCCAATTCCTACGTGGCCTATCCTGGGAGCCGGACGACAGGCGAGATCGTGCTCTACGACGGACACGCCCTGGTAAGGTGGCGGTGACCCCGCCGGCCCAGGCCCCTGCCTGGCCGCGTGGTCAGTTTCAGGTGAGGGGCGGGCTCGGTGGCCAGGGGGCGAGGTGCAGAGGCGCAAGCAGCTCCGGCCACAGCTGTGGGGTGTGGACGGGAAGGTCATGCCCTTTGCCCTCATCGCCATCCGTCCACGTAGCCACAAGGCAGCCTGCCAGGCCCGGACAGACACCGTGGCAGCTGGGGGCCATCGCGGGGTTGAGTGCGCCCTGCCGGGCCGTGGCGCAGCCTGCGACAGCGTGCAGCCGAGTCCCATGTCCTGCCCTCTGCTCTCCGAGCTTCACAGAGCGGGCAGGGTTGCTGCAGGAAGCCGGGCCCTAGAGCCGCATCACGGAGAACACAGTCACATCACCGCACTGGCCACACGGGTGGTCGCCCATCTCCCCGAGGGCAGGAAAAGGGACAGAAACACAGCAGCCCTTGCAGCAGCGTCTAGATACACCGGGAAGCGACGTGCAGCTTCTATGCATACGGCCTGGTGGAAAGAGGGAAACAGGGAACCCAGCAGAGGAGGGAGAGGAGACGAAACGCGTCCTCCCTCTGCCCCAGCATCAACCTCCGTTTTCCCTTTCTCCAACAGAAGACAGTCTGCACCATTGCTGCCCACGAGGGGGCGCTGGCCGCCATTGCCTTCAACGCCTCGGGCTCCAGACTGGCCAGCGCCTCCGAGAAAGTGAGTTCCTCAGGGGCTCGCCTCCTGCCGGGGTGGTGGTGGGGGGTTCCGGGGGCCGTGGGCCCCAAAGAGCTGGCGGAAGGGGCCCGGTGACCCCAGCGCTCAGACCTCACTCCGAAGGGAGGCCTTCCGGCCCCTGCGTGAGGCGCTGCATTTATTAACTCGGCCGACCAAGGGCCTCTGCTGTGCAGGACACAAGCCGCTTTGCCCAGAACCTTGCGGTCTGATTAAGAAACGTGCGTGCCCATCATCACAGATACAGAGAGATGCCACGTTCCATAAACACAGTAGAAACAAAATGCTTGGCTGTTCAGCAGGAGAGACTGACATCTCCTGTCTGGAATAACCAGGGAAGGTGACCGAGTTGAATTTCAGATGCCACGAGAAACAGGTGTATCTTTGACGGGCAGAGATTGAACGTCTGAGGGGGCCACAGCAGACTGACGAGCGCGCCAGCGCCTTGGGCTGGGGGGGGGAGGGGCCGGGAGACGGAGGCTGTTCAACTCACCTTCCAAGAATGGTTTATACAGCACACATACAGAAAAGCCTCTGTGCACAGCCCTCTGTGCTTCCTCTCCTGAGACAGATGCTCAAAACCAATCAAACAAGCTCGTCTCTAAAGGGACGTGTCTGCGTGAAGCTGTTCACGGTACGAAATGCCTACCTGCTTTCTCTTCCAGGGCACTGTCATCCGGGTGTTCTCGGTTCCCGATGGGCAAAAGCTCTATGAGTTTCGGAGAGGCATGAAAAGGTCTGTGCTCATCGTAAAAACACACTGTAGAGTACGCACAGGGGTCCTGCAGTGGACGGCTGGCAGCCGTCCAGGGAGAGGACAGAGGGGCTGTGTGCGCCCCTCGCCCTGCCCGGGAGGAGGGATGATGGTCCTTTCTCAGGTGACTGACTAGAGGCCCCGCTGAGCACTCAGAACACCCGAGAGCTGAGAGGGCTTTGTGACCTGGGCCTCCAGCCTGAGGAGCCCTTTCTTGACGCGCCCAAGGGAGGCCCGTCGCGGAGAAATGAGACAGGCGAGGGAGTCGCGGCCCGAAAGTAACTGCTGACCCTCTCCCGCGGAATAGAAAAGTGTGATGGTCTGGGTCCTATCCGCTGTAGGGCTCACAGACGGAAGACTTCCAGCGTGACGGGAAGGGGCGATGCCTGGTTTCTTCTCACCTGAGAAGCGACCCAGTGTGACTCTTTCCGATGTTAATTTCAAAGTATGAATGATACAGTGTTGAAGGGATTTTAGAAAACACAGGCAGACCTCGGAGATAGTGTGGGTTCCATCCCAGACCACCACAGTAAAGCCAGTATCACAATAAAGTGCGTCACGCACATTTCCTGGTTTCCTCGTACCTGTGAAAGTGACGTTTACACTATCCTGCAGTCTGTTAAGTGTGCAATGATGGCATGAGTCTAAAAAAAAATGCCCATGCCTTAATTTAAAAATGCTTCATTGCTAAACAATGCTGACCATCACCCGAGCCTTCAGCGAGTCGTAACTGTTTGCAGTCATCACACCAAAGGTCACTGATCACAGGTCACCACGACAAATAGAATCATCATGAAAAAGCTTGAAAAACGTTGAGGATGATCAAAACGTGACCCAGGGGCGCGAAGCGAGCAAAGGCTCTGGGGAAAACGGCACCGACGGACTTGCTCGAGGCAGGGCTGCCACAAACCTTCAGCTTATAAAAAACATCGCAGTATCCGCGAAGCATCATGAAGCGAAGCCCAATGAAACGAGGTCTGCCTGTGCTCAGACGCCTCGGGGTACATTTAGGTGTTCTTACATATATATGTGAAGCTGGTTTTTGTACTCTCAGGCTGTTACCCTCATTCCCCGGGCTCACCCGTCCCTGTGTGGCTGTGTTTGCAGGTACGTGACGATCAGCTCTCTGGCTTTCAGTATGGACTCGCAACTCCTCTGTGCTTCGAGCAACACGGAGACCGTGCACATCTTCAAGCTGGAGCACCTCGCCAACAGGTAGGACACGAAATGCTCGTTACACTAAAAGAGTCAGATCCTGGTTGTCTGGCCGGCGCACATGACTTCTCTCTGTCAACGCCACGGACTTGGCTTTACTTGTTCTGTCCCCACCAAGTGGGGAGTGAGTGTCAGCAAAGACTAGGTGATGTGAGCTGGGGTCGCCCTCCTGAGTTTGCAGCCCGGCTCTGCCCCGTGTGAGCGGCGAGACCTCGGGCAGGTGATCTAATCTGTCTGAACTTCTGTTTCCTCGTCCGCCAAACCTAAAATATTAATGATCATATATGCATCTTGGGCCTGTGGTGAGTGCCTGGACTGAAAGCACGCAGTGTAGTGCCGGGCACGGGGTAAACCCTCCAGAGCGTTTGCTAGCTCGCTACAGATACCGTGATGCACAGGCCAACCTCGTGTTGTTGCTTCGAGCTTGGTTGTGCTTCGCGGATACTGCGATTTTACAAACTGAAGCTTTGTGGCAGCCCTGCCTCGAGCAAGTCCGTCGGTGCCGTTTTCCCCAGAGCCTTTGCTCGCTTCGCGCCCCTGGGTCACGTTTTGATCATCCTCAACGTTTTTCAAGCTTTTTCATGATGATTCTATTTGTCGTGGTGACCTGTGATCAGTGATCTTTGATGTTACCATTGCAAAAAGATTACGACTCACTGAAGGCTCACATGATGTTCAGAATTAAGGTACGCACGTTTTTTTTAAATCAAATTGAGTTTATTTGAGACGGGGCTCAGATATGAATCTCTGTAACCTGGCTCCAAGTACTGTACTTTGTTTTCTGGCCATGCTGTGAGGCATGCAGGAGCCCATGCCCCCTGCGATGGAAGCACGGAGTCCTAACCACCGGACCACCAGGGAAGTCCCGCACGTTGTTTTTTAGCCATCATGCCACCGCGTGCTTACTAGACTGCAGGGTAGTGTAAACATCGCTTTCATATGCGCGTGCGCGACATGCTTTATCGCTGCGATCTGGAGCTGACCCCGCAGCGTCTCCGGGGTCCGCGTGTATTCGTCACCCCCAGCACTGAGGGCCTGGCAGATCCTTCCAGGGCCGCTGCTGTGCCTGTGAGAGGAGCGGAGCGGGGTCGACAGCGTAAAGCGTGTGCTGGGCTGCAGCCAGGGGTGTGCGCATGTTTCCTGTTGCTGCTGCAATAGATCATCATAAACTTCATGGCGTAGAGCAGCACACGTTCACGGCCCCATGGCGCTGCCAGTCAGGGTGGGCCGCCCCGGGGTGGCAGGGCTCGGTCTGCACTCAGGGTCGCGAGGCTGCACTGCAGGCGTTGCCCGCTGTCTGCCTGAGCTCAGAGCTGTCCCCGTCCTGGTCACTGGCAGGAATGCAGGCCCTCGCGCTGCAGCCGTGAAGCCCCTGCCCCCGCGATGGCCCCCAGATCCCCGTCCCTCCTCACGCGGCCTTCAAACCAGCAAGGTCGCGCCGATTCCTTCTCAAGCTCCTGATTTCTCTGAATCTCCCTCCTGCCTCTGGCTGGGCAAAGCCCCCTGCTCTTAAGGCCCGTGTGATTGGCTAAAGCCGTCTGGATCATACCCCCTTGACAGCCACCTGGGCCGTACGACATGACACAGTCACGGGGCTGTGGTCTCCTCCCTGGCACAGCCTCCGGGGACCAGGCCGTGGCACCCTGGGGCCCCTCCTAGGGACTCCGCCCACTGTCGTGTGGGCACCAGTGCAGGTGCACAGGTGTGCAGCCCCTGTTTCTCCCGGAAAAGCAGTGAAGGGTCTCCTCCACGCAGGCCTCGGCCGTGGCAGTGTCATGTCACCCAGCCTGCCCCTGGGGCCCAGACCCTGCCCCGCGCAGCCCAGGACACGGCTCACACCTTCCTAGGGGGCCTTCAGACACCGCGTGTCTCCTGACACCTCCCCCTGGGGTCGCTATAGGAAATGGAAACATGAAGTGTTAGCGATTAGCTCAGGGACACCCAGAAAGCGGCGGTGGCCTCGGCAGCACGGCCGCTTGTCCGGGTCCCGTGCTTCTCGGTCCGTGGAGCCTCCCGACACTCTCCGGCCCCTGGCTGCCCACGCGCTTCCAGAAGGCCGGCGGGCTGGGAGCCTCACGACTGAGGGAACGGGTTCAGAGGAGTTCAGCGTCTCGCCTGGAGCCGGCCTCCGTCTCCAAAGCCAGGGTCCACGTGAAAGCGCCGCGTCTCACACCCGCCAGGCGGCACCTCCAGCGACAGCTCAAATCCGTGTCCCAAGCGTGGCGTCCTCTGCTGGGCCTTGCCTGGCACCAGGAGGGACAGGCTCCTCCCCCAGAGCGGGGCTTCCACGGGAGACCCCTTCTACCCGCTCAGGGAGGTACAGAACCCGGCCTCCATTGTGTGTGCCAGTGTGCGTGTCTGTGTGTCTGTGCCTGTGTGTGTCTGTGTGTGCTTGTGTGTCTGTGCCTGTGTGTCTGTGTCTGTGTGTGTCTCTGTGTGTGTGTGTGTGTGTCTGTGTGTGTGTGTCTCTGTGTCTGTCTCTGTGTGTCTGTGTGTCTCTGTGTATGTGTGTCTGTGTGTGTGTCTGTCTCTGTGTGTGTGTGTCTCTCTGTGTGTGTGTCTGTGCCTGTGTGACTCTGTGTCTGTGTGTGTCTTTGTATCTGTGTGTGTGTGTGTGTCTGTGCCTGTGTGTGTGTGTGTCTCTGTGTCTGTGTGTGTGTGTATGTCTCTGTGTGTCTGTGTGTGTGTCTCTGAGTCTGTGTGTGTGTGCCTGTGTGTCTCTGTGTGTCTCTGTGTCTGTGTGTGTGTGTGTCTCTGTGTCTCTGTGTGTGTGTCTCTGTGTGTCTGTGTGTGTGTGTGTGTGCCTGTGTGTGTGTGTCTCTGTGTATGTGTGTCTGTGTGTGTGTGACACGGTGCCGGCCTCTGTCCCACACCGTCTGGAGCTCCCTCCCTCCCTCCCTCCCTCCCGGGGCACCCAGTGACTGTGGGGCCCTGGCTCCGGCCGCTGGCCAGGGGCTGCTCTCACGCCCTCTGAACCTTGGCCCCGCAGGGCTGTGAAACACTAGACGCTGCCCTTCCACGCTGCTCACATGCCTGGAACCCTTCCAGCACCTGCCCCCGTGTGTGCGTGCCCCAAAGCACGCTGCTTGCCCTCTAAGCTTTTAAATAGATGTCATCTGTCTTCTGGACGTTTCTATCCCTTCTTGGACAGCCTCTACACCGTAGGACCCGCCCTCTGCCGGAGCTTTAATCCGTCGTCAGTCGTGCTGGGTTCGGGCCCCCGTGGGCAGCAGAACCATCAGGGCACCCTGCCACCCCCAGGTCCCGGGATCCGGGGACCCCACGCCGCTGCCTTGGTGCTTAAGGTGGGAAGTGGCCACTTGGGCTCAGTTCCACCTCCAGGCTCACCTGCTTCTGTCCGTCTCAGGTCACCAGGAACACACCTTCCCGTCACTCTCCACATCCCCCCAGCCCACCCCGTCCGTGAAGCGGTAACTCGTACAGCACGAGATGACTCTGCCTCTGCCTCCGTCCCACCTCTCTGGCCACCGCCCTGAACCGGGCCTCCCTTCCTTGGTCTCACTCCTTGTAGCCTCTTCTGACCATCATACATCTTCTTGCTGGACTAACCCTTGGAACATGCCCCTCCGTCCTCAGACACCTTTATTCCCCTTTGCCCTCAGGAGTAAAGTCCCAGGTCCTCCAGCCTGGCGTTCGAGGCCTTCCTTCCTTCCTTCCTTCCCTCCCTCCCTCCCTTTTCCCAAACAACTAGAGGAATATTCCTTTGTCTTTGGCATTCACAACGTAATGGCTACAGATACAACACACTTAAAGATTTAACCTGCATTATTGTTTTCCCAGTCACTATAGAGATATCAAGTACATGTTGAAGTAAAGTGTTTTTTCGTTTGTTTCTTTGATTTTTGGCTGCATCGGTCTTAGTTGCGGCACGCAGGATCTTTGGTTGCGGTGTGCGGGCTCCAGAACACACGGGCTCTGTAATTTGCGGCACGTGGGCTTCGTTGCCCCGCGGCATGTGGGATCTTAGTTGCCCGACCCGGGATCGAACCCGCGTCCGCTGCACTGGAAGGCAGATTCTTTACCACTGGACCACCGGGGAAGTCCCGAAGCAGAGTTGATTTACCATGCTGTGTTAATGTCTGCTGTACGGCACAGTGATTCAGTTACACACACACACTTTCTCATATTCTTTTCCCTTCTGGTTTATCCCAGGATGTGGAATGCAGTTCCCTGTGCTCTACAGTCGGCCTTGCTGTTTCTCCATCCCGTATACAGAGTTTGCATCTGCTCACCCCCACTCCCACTCCATCCCTCGCCCTCCCCTGCCCTTGGCAACCGCCAGTCTCTTCTCTGTGTCTGTGAGTCTGTTTCTGTGTTGTAGATGAGTTCATCTGTGTCGCAGTTTCGATTCCTACAGATTGTCAGACTAAGCGAAGTGAGTCAGAAAGAGAACGAGTGCCGTACGATGTCGAGGCTTTTCTCGCCGCAACTTGCCTGAGCTGAGGCCTCCCTGCCTCTGCCCCCTGGGCCGGCCCAGCGTGGCCCTGACTCTCAGATGCTTGTCCAGAGCATCTGATGGGCCCCCCTCCTGCCCCCCCACCCCGCTCGGAGACAGACCTGCCTCGGGGCCTAGCCCGGCGACCAAGCCTCTTCAGTCCCGCCAGCCCCGGAGACGCTCTCTTATGAGACAGCACTCGCCGGGCGCCAGCCCCTGCGCCGTGCCGCCGCTTTAGTTCTCACGGGCAGGGGACCGTGATTGTCCCCGTGGCCCCCGGTGAGGACGGTGGGATATGAGGGGTGGAGGAACGCCCTCCGCCCCTCCCTCCTCTGTGGTCTTGGAGTCGCCCCGACCTGGGCCCTGTCCCGGGCACCCTGTCTGGAGCGCTCACGCGTCCTCCCTTTTACATCTGTGCTGCGCCCCGCCTCGGATGCAGGACCTAGGTGTGGTTGGTACCTCTCGGTGACGCCCCACCCTTAGTGCAGCGCGCCAGGGCGAGCCGCGCAGGTGTGTCCCACGATGCTCAGGATGTTAGGGGGACGGCGGGAGCCTGGAAGCGCCCGTCGCCTCCAGACGAGAACCTCGAGACCCAGGGAGGTTTGTCCAGGTGGTGACAGGGAGGAATAAACCCCAGGGCTTCGGAGCCGCGGGCCGTGTCCCTCACCAGGATGCATCCCCCGGACGAGCGGCCTCTCGGCCGGGGTGCCTGGGGCGCATGCGGCCACCCTGGTCCTCGCCGGGCTGCTCGGCGCAGAGGCGAGTGTCCACCCTGCCCACCCGCGTCTCACCACACAGCCGCCCCCCCTTGTCTGCCAGAGACCCCAGGATGCGGCGCGGGGACTGCAGGGGGCACACCAGGTCCTTTTGAATTCCCCCGACCTTTGTGCGTTGCCAGCACCCACCCGGGTGGCTCGAGGGCTGTAACCAAACACCTGTCCAAGCATCTTGCCCGGAGGTTTGCTTCCCACGCAGTCTGGCTGGGAGGCCTTGGCGCTGAGATCGGCCTGTTCTTTTCGTCGGTGAGCCCAGAACAGGCCTGGGCTTAGGTTACAGAGCCCAGGGACTGATTCCAACTCACTCCCTGCCCAGCCCCCTTCCAGGAACCTAGAAATCAGGCTGATAGACTCAGCTTGCTTAATGCAGGAGGGCCGTCGCGCTGGGAGCCTCTTAATGGCCGTGCAATGGCTCTTCCGAAGGACACACAAGCCCTTGACGCCCTCAGGGTACGGCCGGAATGGCACGTCCCGAGCGTTCGGGTGGGCAGAACGTCATGCCCGGGCACAGTCCCTTCCCACTGCCGTGAGCACAGCTCCCAGCGTCGGCCGGGGATGTTGGACGGCTGCCAGGGGGCGGCTTGGCCTCACCCTCGCCTGTGCCTTTTGCTCCCCAGCCAGCCAGAGGAGCCCTCGACCTGGACCAGCTACGTGGGAAAGATGCTCATGGCTGCGACCAACTACCTCCCCACCCAGGTGTCCGACATGATGAACCAGGACAGGGCCTTTGCCACCGGGCGCCTGGGCTTCTCTGGGCACAGGAACATCTGCACCCTCTCTACGTACGTGCAGCGCCACCCCTCACCAGGCACAAACCATTACAGATTTGCTTCCCCAAAGCACAGGTTTACTTGCCCCAGACACACACGCACAGGTTTAAAAGAAAGGCAAGAGAAGGGAGCCAAGAAGGGCACGTAGGGTCAGGACCCACGGCACCCCGTGGCCGGCCAGCCGCTTTCCCGTCCGTCCGGCGGGACCCTTTCTCCGGGGGCTGAGAAGCTGAGCTGGAAGCTGGCATGGGAATTTTAACCTTCTCATTCCAGTGACACTGTCTTGAAGACAGTTCCCATTTTTACGGAATTATGTAAAAAGGCTCTAGTCCCAAAGTCTCGGTCCAGATACCTATGGGGTCGACGGGTGTTTTATCTAAGACATTAAAAAGTGTTTATTAAAGCCGAACATTTGAAAAATTTTGTAAAACTAGCCAGCAAAGATGGGGGCCAGTTTTGCACCTGCCTCCTTCCTTCCGCTGTTAAAGGCAGAGACACACATAAGGCAGGTAGGCGGACACTTTTGTTGGCAGGGGAACCTCACAGAGCAGCAGGGTGTATGCATATCCTTTTGTCTCACCCACACAATATGGTCAAAGACAAGGAGTCATCTTCAAGGTAGATCACTAGGACACATGCAAGGAAATCACCAGAAACCCAGACTCTGGGGTCAGCGGGCTGCGGGTTCATGGATGTCGGGACAAGACGCTGGTGATGTCCCCGGTGGGGGGGGGGGGGGCGCTTCGTCCCTGGAAGCGGATCTGCCGCCCACGTACGTTGTCATCCCAGCACACGTCTTCTTGGCCCTTAGGATCCAGAAGCTGCCGAGGCTCCTGGTGGCATCATCCAGTGGACACCTTTACATCTACAACTTGGACCCTCAGGATGGAGGAGACTGCGTCTTAATCAAGACCCACAGGTGAGGAGACCGGTGTTCAGAAAGCCGGCCTTTCAGGAGCCGCCTGTGTCGTGTGCCCCTCAGCCCAGACGGCGACCAGCCTCAGCGCTCTTGCTTCCCTTCCTCCTTCAGGGGCGGGCCCAGGGGCAGAGCCAGAGGGGCCCTGCTTGGCGCTGGGCTCACGTAGGGCTCAATGACATGCAAAATGGGGTCTCCCTGCTGGGCGCTCCTCTTCCCGGGGTCCCTCAGACATAACAGGCGCTCCGAGCCGTGTACCGAACTGAATTGAGACGTTCTCCTGACCTCTGCGGCCAAGGGCAGGGCAACCTCCTGCTGCGGACAGGATGCCCCGAGCTGCCACTGCCCCGTCACCTGGGGCTCCCGGGTGCCCTTGCCTGCGCGTGCCAGGAGGAGCGCAGGACCGATCTCGGTTTACTAAACGCCAGAGATGAGAAATCCAGTGATCGGCAGGTGAAGGTCACGCTGGTCCACGCTGACCTGGCAGGCCTTGAACCCCAGGGGCCCAGCACGGGCTTCCGGTGCTTTGCCTTTTGCAAGTGCCCTGGGCGTGAGGTGACCTTTTTGGCTCTTCCTTCCCCCCACGTTAGCTTGCTTGGCTCAGGAACTGCCGATGAGAATAAAGAAAATGACCTCAGAGCTTCATTACCTCAGTCTTACGCAGCAACTGTGGCCAGACCAAGCCCTTCTGCAGCCTCCACGGTGCCAGGTGAGCGGGCACGGGGGACCTGTGTGACAGCGACCCTCTTCTCCCGTCACCACTGCCTGTGGACAGAGCACTCCCCCGAGCCACGTGTCTCCTCCAGACGCGGCCCTGGGCGTAGCCTTAAACGCGGGTCCCAGAGCAGGGCCGGCGGAGCCCCCAGTGGCCGCCTCCCTAACAAGTAGTGGGAACGCTTTGCCTCCTGGACGGTTTGTAATCAGGTGGAAAGCTGGAGGAGCTGGCGGCGGGCGGGTGGAGGAGACCAGCCGCCCAGGGGCTTCGGGCCGTAAACGCTGAGGATTTGCACTCGTGGGGAGCACAGTCCGTCCCGTGGGTCCCCGGACGCTCGCTTTGCTGAGGCCCGGCCCCGGGGTCGCGGCCTAGGAACAGACCCCATGGCTTCTCTCACGTCTCACTGTTGGTTTCCAGGTTATTCTGAGGATGGCGGGGCGCTCCGAGGAGAGGTCATCCCCGAACACGAGTTTGCGACGGGACCAGTGTGTCTTGATGATGAGAATGAGTTTCCCCCTGTGAGCACTGGGCACCCTTAAGAGCATCCAATCCGTGTGCTTAGACAGAACCCTCACCTGTGCACGAGGCGGAGTCCTTTCCCTGTTGTCTCATCTGTCACAACTAATCCTCCCCTAACACCCGGGAAGCCTCAGACCCCACAGACTAGCCCACCTGACAGTGTCAGGATAACCGCGTACTTGCCCAGGGAGCCGTGGCGGCCTCCCCGCGTTCGGAGGCCCGGGCCCCTTGACTCTGCTTCCTTAGCACCCTCTGTGCTGCTCACAGGGAGAAACTGGTCCGTCTAAGCTCTTATTTTCCTGAGGTTCCTGAGATGCTCTGAGCAGAATGTTGCCGCCCTTGTGATGCTAAAGGTGATGCTCGGACAGGGCTGGGCCCTCGCCCTCCTCCGGCTCTGACAGGACTGACCCCTGTTCGTTAACAGCCACTCGGAGAGCGGAGCGGCGGTGGGAAGCCCCCCGGGCACCTCTAGCCGGGCACCTCCCCAGCATCCTGCTTCAGCTGTCCTGGCAGCAAGGGCCCAGGCTTAGCTGGGCGCTGGGCATGGCTCCTCTCAGCATCCTGGAGTGAAGAGAAGCTTGTCCCCCTGGTTCTGGTTCTTCAAGCTTCCGTTCAGAGCAACATAGAGACCCCCTCTTATGAGCTTCAGTCAGAAAACAGCCCAGACGGTCCACTTGAAGTCGTTTCAAGATGGAAGCGGTGTTTAGGCCAAGGCTTGGAGAGTCAGCTGACTGTCCCTCCTGGAAGCAGAGAGAAGTAGCCATTGGGCATAGATCTTGGGCTGCATTGTTTTCTCTTGGTCATGATTTTGGGTCAGTTGGATTTCATTTGCCAAAGGATGGAGTGCGGGTCTGGCGTCCCTCTTGCAGAGATCCATAGGACAATCTAGTAAGTCTAGTAAAACAAAAACAAGAGCTGCTGTAGGGCCCTTCGTGCAGGACTGCAGGGCCGTGTTCCTGACTTCCCAAAAGGCTCTGTGGGTTGCAGCTTGGGATCGGCCTTTCTGGCTTTTAATAGACAGATTGTCAAATACAGTGCCAACCAGTAAAGTTTACATCTTAGGGGTGGAAAGCAGTCATTCTTAAAAATACTAATTACACGTTTAAAAACGTCTCCCAGTAGACCCCTCCCAAGGGACCAGTTGTTTTGCTCTTGGGTTCTCCTGCCCCTACTCGCTATAGCGGGAGCTTTTCTGTGCCCCCCAAAAGTTGGTGGTCATTTATCTGAAGTCGTATCTTCCGGGAACCAGAGCAGGTCAGATGCAGTGGGCATACATGTGGAATCTAATGGAATCAGCAATTTTGGTAAAAGTCTGTGACTGCTATAAAAGATTAGATTGTTAGATACTTAACTGAAATCAGAGTAGACCTCGAAACCTCTTATATTTACAGAATTTGGATATCGGCATTCAGAAGGTGATCCCTTGCTAAAGAAAACCTGTATCAAATAATACGTACACCATGCAGATCATTTGGAGTTAAAAAAAAAAAAATTGGAGACGCTTAAGAACTATAGCACTGAAATGAAAGGCCTGTTTGCTTATTCGGTGCCAGGAAGCCTGGTACAAGCCATTCGTCTTGTCTCCCTCGTAAGGACCAAACGAGTGGAAGTTGGTTTAAACTGCGCCGATTTTTATTTATGTAGAAGGAGGGCTTCCTGCCCGTGAGCGTGAGAGTGCCGATCACTGAACGAGCTTCCCCAGAACGGTCGCTAGGCCCTAGCAATTTCGGAGCAGCCCCCGTGTGCGGAGCCGGTGGTAGGGGTCTCGGAGACCATCAGACCCCAGCCCTGCCCTCATGCCTGCAGGCAGAGCGATGGGGTAGCAGGTGGGCTTCTGCATCTCAGTGCACAAGGATCGGGGCCTGAGTGCCCCTGGGATGTTCTTGCAAGAGGGACCATATTAGTCATGTCCTCATTGGCAGTGATGGTCCACTGGAGATGCTAAACAGCTTCCTCTCTCTGTCTCTGTTCTGAACGGTCATGCCTGTTGCAAACATCTGTCCAGAATCCTCCTCTCTACCCACATGCCTTAACACCTTCCAGGATCCTGACGGATCTTGGGGTCTCAGCTTCTCCCGGACACGAGCCTAGGTTTGCTCGGATAATCTCCTGAGGGGCTCGCTGGGTCATCGCTGCTGGTCTTCTTTTTTAAATATACTGACACTAACCTGGGTATGAGCCCTCTCATCTCCTTGGGATTGACTTTGCTCCAAGCACAATGAGGGAAAAGAGAATTGATCATTTCTGGTCCCTTAGAAAGATGCTGTATTCAGGAAGAGAGTAGCTTTGGTTTCGGTAACAAGCCAGCCTTGACAAGTTTGCATATATTCTGACATTCGTCTTACTCTTGGGACCAAGGGTGTTTACTGACTTTTTCATGGTGATTTAGCAGTCTGTGTTTACAAGTAAGATGAGCCTTAAAAAAAAAAAAAAAAAAAAAGCAACCCATATACATATCAATACACACATATATTTTTACAAAAAGTATTTTCGGAAACTGCCACCTCGTCTACACCTAAAGAAGACGGGTGACTCTTCCGTGACCACACGCGAGGGTCGGCCTGTGGACAGGCAGGCGGGAAAGCTCTGCCGGGCCCAGCCTGCCCCCGCCGACCCCGCGTGCGCACGGGTCTGCTGACCGTGCAGCCGGCCCGTCAGCCCCTTCCCGGAAGGAGTAAGGCCGTTCTGTTTTGATTTCGGTAGATAATCTCGTGCCGCGGCGATCAGAAGGGCAGAACGAAGCAGTCATGGTGAACAGCAGGACCGCCCCTCTGTCAGGCGGTTTTGGAGACGACCAGGAAGGTGGATGCAAGGCATGCGGTAGTGTGAGCAGAATGGGGGGTCAGGAACCCGGGACGCGGTTTGCTGCCCAGCAGGCTCGTCTCAGCCCCGGTGGCTGGTGGGTGCGGGAGCTGCTGCGAAGCCACATCCTGCCGTTGTTGAAAGTGCGTCCCAGCCAGAGCGTCCACATGGACGAACCATCTTGGTCTATATAACGCTAATTTTATATTACAAAGAGCATCCTTTCGAAAGCGTATGCTGCGTAAAAATGTACTTACAGGAGAATCTCTCTGAACTGTATTTCTTGTATATGCGACATAGAGAGAGAGGCTATTTTAGCCAGGCAAAAGGTTTGTGCAGTGATTGGAATAAATCATTTATGACCTTTCAGTCCCATTTAGGACACTGATAATAAAACCATGGCAATGCACTTTTGAGGCTTTAAAGCTTTACTTCTTTGTGGTTTCTGAAAGCAGGAAGCATCCCTAAAATCTTTAAAATACAGCCGTTTGACCTGTCGCACGGGGTGGTGGCAGGTGGGCAGGGCTGTGGGCTTCTGCGGCCTGGAAGCAGCTCTCACCTTGGCAGGTCTGCAGCCCCCTGGGGAGCTTCCCAGACACGGAGCGCCTCAGGCCGCCCCCAGCCCACCTGGTCAGAGTCCGCATGGTCACAAGCTCCCAGGTGATCTGTGCGCCTGTGAAAGACGGAGGTGCTGCTCTAGATGCCAGCCGGGATGAGCCTCTGTTCAAATGACGGGCAAAACTGGGTGCATAAAAAAAAAGGCAACTAGAACATATCGAGTGCCTGCTTGGTGTCACGTCGCGTGCCAGACAGGCACTTGCACGTATCACCTGTTTCCTCCTCAAGATCAGCTTGCGAGTTACGTTAAACAACTGCCCAAGTTCAAAGCTGGGGCTGGGACCTGGTCTGACTCCTGACTCCACAGCCCAGGTGCCTTTTCTTACAGCTCGGGCTCGGCATGCCCTCAAGCCGGCACGTGGAAGGGACAGCGGGGGACGCGGAGTGGTGGCTTCAAAACAAACTTCTGAGCCTTATTTTTAAAGCACACGTCACTGCGAAGTGGGCAAAACCGCAGTCGGGATGTGAACCCGCCCGTCTCGCTTCCCGGTGTTTCCGTCACGCGGCCTGGCAGCGGCAGGCAGTTTGGTGGGGATTACAGCAGGGGGTCACGGAAGGGTCCTGACTGTAATCCGCTCGGGAGGTGTTGTCGCCGGCAATGTCTTCAAGGACCTCCGAGAGAGCCGCTCTGACCTCGGGCAGCACCCTCTGGTACTCGGCACTACCCCGGTCCAGAGGCACAGCTTCTGCGACATCGTCATCCAGGTTGAAGATGAGGGGAGGCTCGTGGTGCCACTCGGGGCCGACGCTGCCATCGCAGGCTCTGGCCCCACCTGGAGCGGGTGACAACAGAGACCCCGTCAAGCCCAGCACCGGATTACAAGTGAGTGCAAACATATCAGGACTCCAATGTTCCAGTGACCGCTCTCCCTGCCACTGAGACACTGACTCAAGTATCTTTCCCCTCCACCCTCTGGGAGTAAATGTGATGTGTCTTTTGAAAATTGATTTCTTGAGTCCACAGGACACTCAATTTGGCAAATTAGGCAGGGAGGCCAGGGAAGTCGTTTCACTTCGGGCTGCAGTTCAGTTTCTTGTCTGAGTCAGAATCTGCCTGAAGACGGGTGACGAAAACGTTTGGAGCGATGGCAGCCTCCTTGGCTGTTAACGATTCAGATGAGGTTTTTTTTTTGCCCCCTTTTCCGTACAAAAAGTAGTTAGGGCTTCTGACAGGAATGAACACAATATAATTATATCAACAAAAGGAATTCAGGCAGAGGACAGCCCTGGGACACACAGGCAATCCTGAACACTTCCTTTGCCTCTGGTCTCCTTAGCAGGGAAACATGAACAAGGTAGACATTTACCAGCCACTCGGGGAAGCAGAGCCCTGAGGTGTGAGAGAATTTTTTCCACCGGCTCCTCCTACAGGATGGAACACTCGACAGCATCCTTATGAAAAGCACAGCTGTGTGATGAGGCCGGTCCAGCTGACAACTTTCTATCCCACCCTCCGCTACGAGCTGAGAGCCTGAAGCCCAAGTGCAACTCAGTAAAAGCAAATCTCCACGAAGGAGCCACAGTCACACCACGGGAGGACGCAGCTTTCATTCTGGGCCAATCTGAACAGAAACGTAAAACGTGAACCACTGAGAGGGAAGAATGGGTAGATCGCACAGCCTTTAGGAAGCCCCCTGTTGATGCTGCTCCTCCTGGGATGGATTTCAGTTTGTCCAACGAAAAGGAAGAGTCGTTGCCTAGTGTTTGGAGTTGAAGTTGGCTCTTCTTTGCCAATAAACAGAGGTGACGTGAGCTTTGGCAATCAGTCAAGCGAAGGTGGGGACTGACTCCTCTTATAAAAATTAAAGGCTTCCGCTTAAGGGAATAATGGAGTAGCTCACATAAAACTCATCCTCCCATAGATGACAATTTTAAGTTCTAGGCAACATACAGAAAAAAAAACAACCAATTGAAGGCACCAGAAAATCATCCATGCAGGCAGAAAGGAATTTGATTTTTGAGAGCGGGAGGCCGCACGGGGTGGGGTCTGTGTTTAAGTGTTTTCCCCTGGGGACACCCCCCTACCCACCCACTCAGAGCAGCGTGGAGCAGCTAAAGCCCCAGGAGGGGGCTGTGGTCTCTTTGGCTTGAGGTGTCAGGGAACAGAGTTCAGAGCTGCCACCACAGATGCAAACTGGTGGGCAAAGTCCTGGGAAGGAGAGAGCTGGAGAGGGGAAGGCTTAAAGTCTGCAAATAAACTCCCTTCAGAACCTTGGCTGACCCCTGAACTGGGCATGCACAGATTCTAGCAACAGCTACAAGTCTGAAGAGCTCAGCACGCATTTCTGTGCTACCCAGTGCAGGGAAGGTAGAATTTAGAGTGTGAATTCTGTTAAGTTAGAAAGGCTTGATAAACACTTCATATTTTCCATTGAAGTCCCAAAAGGTTCATGCTAGGAGTAAAGGCTGTATCCCGGAATGAAGGCGTTTACCTAAGATTAAGGATAAAATCCAACAGAGCCCAGTTCTGACAAAGCATAAAATCAAGACTCCTCAAGTCTAAGGGGATTAGGCAGTAATTAACTGCCCGTGAGAACTGAAGTCAACACTCCTCAGACTGAAAGTCAGAATCTCTACAGTGCATCACACACAATGTCCAGTTTTTTAAAACTACTCAATAGGAAACTTCTAGTCTCTGGTCCAGCATTTGGAGCTCTGGAAGTCAGCCCTCCATCCTAACAAGTAAAAAGCTGAACAAACTACAAAGTCAACGACTTCTGAGATCCATCAGAGAAGTGAGGTCACAGGGCAAACCTCTGCTCCCCGAACTGGAGACAGACAGGTGAGAATACAGAGAAGCACAACATACCAGAGCAGAAACCCACAAGCGGACACCTCTGGGAACCAGTGCCCTGGTAGGAAAACCCGAACTGTGATGAACAAACGGCGGGAGGCTCAGTGTAGATGAGTTTAAGAGTTAAAAACCCCATGGGGGTGGGAGTCCTCTTTCAGATGAAAATCCTAAGAAAAAAGAAAAAAATAAACGCCAGTGATCAAAAGCACTGTGACAGAAATAAGAATAAGAATGCCTTTGATGGGCTCGTTCGTAGATTCCACGGCTGAGGACAGAATCTCTGAGCTTGAGGATATCTCAAAAGAAGCTTCCAAAGTTGAAAAGCAAAGAGGGAAAAAAATCTGCAAAACGCAGAGCAGAATATCCAAGAACTGTGAGGAAACTACAAAAAGTGTAACGGGAACACTAGAAAGAGAAGAATGAGTGAAAGGAATAGAAGAAATCTATGCAACTATAAGGACTGAGATTTCCTCCAAATTCATGTCAGACACCAAACCGCAGATCAAGCAAGCTCAGAGACCCCGAGAAAGACCCTGTCGAGAGAACAAGAAGTCAAGCCACGACTCGAAGAAAATATTCTCACAAGGCACATCTGATAAAGGGCTGTTATCCGAAATGCACAAAGAACTCTTAAATCTCAACAATCAGGATGATGAGAATGAGAACCTGAACAGACACCTCAGCAAAGAAGATACACAGTTAGCAGACAAGCATACGAAAGGGTGCTCAATGCTGTACGTCATCAGTAGTTGCAAATTAAATAACAAGACCCCACGACACACCTAGCAGAGTGGCCAAAATGGAAAACAGTGGCAACACCGAATGCCGGTGAGGGTGTGCAGCAGGGACTGTCATCACTGCTGGCGGGGACACTGGACAGTGCAGCTACTTTGGAAGACACCTTGGTGTTTTCTTACAAAATTAAATACACTCTAACCGTACGATCCAGCAGTCACACTTCTTGTTATTTATTCAAATGAGTGTATGTCCACAAAAAGACCTCCATGTGGATGTTTATAGCATAACTGTCAAAACATTTACTCCTAATTGTGAAGACTTGGAAGCAAGCAAGATTTTCTTCAGTGGGTGAATGGATAAATAAACTGTGGTACGTCCAGGCAATAGAATATTATTCAGCTTTGAAAACAAATAAGCTCAAGCCATGAAAAGACATGGAGAAGAGCCTTAAAGTGGTATTTTAGTCACAGCCTAGGCTGCCATAGCAAAGTACCATAGACCGGGTGGCTTAAATCATAGAAATTTATCTTCTCACAGCTCTGGAGGCTAGAAGTCCAAGATCCAAGGTTCTTGAAAATGTGGTTTCTGGCGAGGGTTCTCTTCCTTGGCTTGCAGACAATAGAGATACAAAAAACCCTCGATACATACTAGCAAACTGATTTCAGCAGCTTATAAAAAGGATTATACGCCATGTCCAAGTGGAATTTATCCCATGGATGCAAGGGTGGTTCAACATATGAGAATCAGTCAGTGTAAAGCAATGTATATTCATAGAACAAAAGACAAAAAAATGATCATCTCAGTAGATGCAGAAGAAGCATTTGACAAAATCCCACACTCTGTCATGATATAAGCACTCAAGAAACTAGGAATAAAAAGGAACTTCCTCAACCTGATAAAAATTATCTGTGAGAAACCCAGAGCTAACATCACACTTAGTGAGGAAAGACTGAAAGCTTTCCCCCTAAGATTAAGAACAAGACATGAATGTCCACTGTCACCACTTCTATTCAACATTGTACTGGAGGTTCCAGCCACAGAAATTAGGCAAGAACCAGAAACAGGAGGCATCCAGACTGGGGAGGAAAAAGTAAAACCACCTCTATTTGTTGATGAAATGATCTCATGTAGAGAAAAGCAAATAGTCAAAACTCGCCAGTTAAAAAGCAGAGCCTTATCAAACTGGATGAAAAAGCAAGATTCCTTTCTTTCCTGCCTACAGAGACGCATTTTAAATATAAAAGCAGTTGAGTTGAAAGGAACAAAATAGATATATCACACAAACAGTAAAAGCACAGGAGACCGGAGTGGCTATGTAACATTAGACAAAGCACACCTCACGATACGGAGTACCAGGATAACCAGGGATATTTCACAAGGATCCAGAGTCCGATTTTAAGGAAGACAAAACTAAAGGGAAAGATAGACAATCTACATCCTAAATGGAGATTTTTAAGACGCTTCTCTCAATAATTGATAGAACAACTAGACAAAAAGCCGGGAGGGATATAGGTGATCTAGACAGCTATCAACACCTCCACCTGATTGAAATTTATGGAACATTATACACAAGAACTGCAGAATACACATTTGCTTCACTTCCACATGGTGTGTTCACCAAGACAGATCACCTGCAAGGCCATAAAATAAGTCTCAATACGTTTCAAAAGATTGAAAACTTCCAGAGTATGTTTTCCGATCACAATAAAATTAAATTAGAAATGACAGAGATGAGAGAGCTAAAAAAAGGCCCCCAAAATTTGGAAATTAAGCAACAGCTTTCTAAATGACCTATGAGTCAAGGAAGAAATTAGACAAGGTACTAGAAAATATTTCCAACTAGATAATGAAAGTAAAACATAGAATTTGGGAGATACAGATAAAGCAATGCTTAAAGGGAAAACTGTAGCTATAAACGCTTATATTTGAACATGAGAAAGGTTTAAAATTAATTATATAAATGTCCTCTTTAGTAAACTAGAATAAGGAGAGTAAAGTAAGTAAAGAAGGAATGGAAATAAAAGCAGGAATCATGACATAGAAAACGATAAAGGAAATTAACAGAGCTAAAAGTTGCTTCATTAAAGATTAATTAAAAGGATAATGAGGAAATATTATGAACAATTTTAGGCCAGTAAATTTGACAACTCAGATGAAACGGACAAATTATTTTAACAACTTACCAAAGCTGATACAAGAGGAAATAAAAAATCTGAATAGCCCTATACCTATTAAAGAAATTAAATTGATAACCAAGAACTTTTCCATCAAGAAACCTCCAGATCCAAAGAGTTTCACAGATGAATTCAATCGACGTGAAAGAAATAATACCAATCTCCCATAGCCCCTTCCAGAAAACAGAGAAAGGAACACTTTCCGACTCATTTCCCAAGGTTAGCGAAACCCTGATACCTAACCCCGACACAGACATTGCAGGAAAGGAAAATTATAGACGAAATCTTGGCAGATCAAATCCATCAATATATAAAAAGAAGAATACATCACAATTGAGTTTATCCAGGAATGTAAAGTTGACCTAACATTTGAAAACCAACCGATGTAATTCACAGCATTAAGAGGGTCCTTATGCAAGTATATACATTTATAGGAACTCATCAAATCGTGCCGTTTAGGTCTGTGGCTTTCACTGTGTGTAAAGTTTCCCTCAATTACTCTTTTGAAAAAGGAAAAAGCAATAAGATCACTTCATTCTACGCTACACAGCGAAACAGACTCGCTGCCTCTTAAAGCTCCTCCTAGGACACGACCTCAGAAATCACAGCCTCATCATAGAGGGACACACACCTCTTTCTCTAATCTAATGCAGTAGATGTCAGTTCACCTCACTTATCCCAAAGCAGTTTTATGTAATTAGCATGCAGATTTTCAGGGACGGGGGTGGGGAAAAGGAGGAATCAGAGCACATCCGGGCTTCATCCTGTTTCATCCTACTTCATCCCATCTGTTGAGATTTCCATTCTTCCCTTGCTAACTTTCCTGGGAGTTTGGTGATGCCTCAGAAGAACAGACCTCCCCTGGGTGTCATAATTCCTGTCTGACTGTGATCCCTTCAAACAGTCCTATCACTTCATAGTAGCGTTTATGATCCCAGCGTCACGATGACAAGGGCTTTCTGGCTGGGTTATGACTTCTGAAATTAACTCAGCCTGGAGAAACCATACCTCTGAGATAGGGTAATGTAAGGGCTGGCATCTGGACACTTTCCATCTGAAAGAATAACAAACATCTCACTGGTTTGCATTTTAGGTCTTGGAAAGTCGAAGATTCTTGTGGCGTTTTTAATATCTTTCAAGTGATGAACTCAAAGAACTTGTTTTGGTTTTATGCCACATTTTCTTTGGGGGGTCACTTATTCACCCTCAGGTCAAATAAATTTTTGTTCTTTATTATATAATTCTTTGGAAAGCTCTAACTTTAAATAACTGAATCAGGACTTCCCTGGTGGCGCAGTGGTTAAGAATCCGCCTGCCAACGCAGGGGACACAGGTTCGAGCCCTGGTCCGGGAAGACCCCACATGCCGCGGAGCAACCAAGCCCGTGCACCGCAACTACTGAGCCTGAGCTCTAGAGACCGAGAGCCACAACTACTGAAGCCCATGCGATTAGAGCCCCTGCTCCGCAACAAGAGAAGCCACCCCTATGAGAAGCCTGCGCACCGCAACGAAGAGTAACGCCTGCTTGCCGCAACTAGAGAAAGCCCGCGCATAGCAATGAAGACCCAACGCAGCCAAAAATAAATAAATTAAATAAATAAATAAATAAATAAATAAATAAATTCATTTTTAAAAAAAGAAATTGAGTTAAAAAAAAATAACTGAATCAAATTGGAATCCACACCAGATCCCAGATTTGGGTGAGGGTTTTTTTGGGGGGGGGGGGGGGGGGGGGGAGCTTGTCTTTCATTCATTAAAAAAAAGTTAGGGTTCCTA